CACTCAGAGAGTCCAGATCTGAATCATATTCAGATCTAGAATCCTCCTAATGAGATTAGGAGAAAACTAATCTAATCTGCAGATAAGATAAGGGTTTATCCCTATCACCTAAAGAGAAGTCTTATCCAAATATGATTTGGATAAGCTGCTCCTAATTGGATTAGGAGCTGATCTTTTAGGTTAACAGAAGAAGGGGGCGGCAACCTAATAGAGACACACATCTGATTTCCTTTAGTGCTGAAAACAAGAAGAGAGAATTCTGCACCCTACGAATACTCTCTTACCGCCTTCTTGTTCTTGCCGCCCTGTTTGTCAGTTCGATCTCCAGTTGTGGGAGAAGTCAAGATTGAATCTTGACATCAGTTCTTTGAGAAATGATTGAAAGGAAGCTGTGCTCACGTACCATCCTGCTGATTCTTGCGAAGGACAGATTTCTTGGAGAAGAACACTACTGATTCTGCTCCATCCTGCATTGCGCCATCTTTAGTGGGAGCAGTCTTTGGATCCTTCCTTGGGCGTGAACACCTCCATTGGGAGATACTACTTCTTCGTATCAGGTATAATTCTCTCCTATTCCTTTTGGTTCAGGTCTGGTTCAGTTTAAGGTTCAAGAATGATCATTGAAAATATGATTTTCTAAATAGGGAATGTAATTCCTATTTGAAGGGAGAGAACAAGTTTTTGAAATTCACCCCTTATTCTGCAATCTTTGGGCGTCCATACGATGGATCTCTCAATCCATCAAGAAATTCTTACATAAGGTAATTTCAAACAAAGACAGCTATTTGGGTTTGCAAAAGTAGAAAAGATACTTTGTGCACTTTTTGTAAGTTGTACCTAGAAACCCAAAATCATCTTTTCCTGCAATGCCCTCTAGTCAGGGCTGTTTGGATGCAAGTCCAAGTTGGGCTCATGCGGGAGGCTTTTTTAAACTCAGGCCAAAAAGATTTATTGGAATGGTGGTGGTAGTACAATAGTCATATCAAGAACAAAGCCCTAAAGTACATTTACCTTGCAAAAGTCTTTGCAATTTTTAGAAGCATATGGAACGCGAGAAATGATCATATTTTTAATAATGGGATCCCAGAACCACTAATGATCCTGCAGAAATCATCCTTTTTAGTAGTTACTGCCTTACTAAAACCATTGAGTCACAAAACTCATCCTTTTCTCAACTGAATGCATAATGGGATCTACAAGAGGTTTTGCACATAGCACTCCCGATCATCTTAGTGGATGGATCATGGAACACTACCACACACAGTGCATCTTTTGAGCTCTTAATGTTCTCACGTGGATCTCCTCTTTTCATTGCAGAAGGACAACCGTGTATAGCAAGATCATCATCAAAAGCTGAGATCTGGGATAATAAGAGGCTTGTGTAAGCTTTTTTGTATGGGATATAAAAAAGGTTTTCTGCCATAGGATGCCAAGAAAGTACTTTTGAATTTAAAGGAACTAATAAAAACATAACTTGGGAACTTTAGGCGCTACATGACCATATATTTGATTTGTTATCACTTTTTGCCAATGTAAAGTTATTATATGTAAATAGGGAGGTAGTTAAGCCAGCCCATGAACTTGCTAAACAGGCTAGGCTTAAAAATACTTTTGTTAACAAGTCCACCCCCCCTATGTATTTACAAGCATGTTTTTTGAGTAGTTGTAAAAGGGGGATTCAAATTCAAATGGACCCATGATGTTTTTTAGTGGTTCTGTTCTTTTATCGAAAAAAAAAATCCTTACACTTAGACTATGTTTAGTTTCAATGAAAAGATAGGGAAAGGAAGGGAAAGGCAAGGAAATTTATACAAGCTTTATAAAGGTTTTCTTACCTTTTCTTTCTTTTCCCTACTTTTTCCTTTAAACCAAAATACAGCCTTATTATTCACAATTTGAAAATTTTTTGTTCGGGATTTTTTCTGTTTTTCAATTGTAGTTTAATTTTTAATAATTTCCATTGATGATGTTCACTTGCCATATTTTTTTAATAATTTCATGACATTAATCCAACCACTGTACTTTCATTGATGATCTTTTGTGGTTTAATTTTTATATATTTTCTTTTATTAAATTTTAATATCTACATACATACATATATATGTATGTATATATAGATATTTAAATTTTACGATATAAATAATATTTTAAAAATATTTAAAATATTATAGTCAAGGTCAGGGCGGGGCAGTCCCTTATCGGATATTTTAATTAATTCCCATCCACATCCCTACTAAAGCAGTCTCCATACCTAACCCATTTGGGAAGGCCAAGTACTTAGTGGAGATGAGGAAATTGTCATCATTGTCATAGACTGAAAGTTTACCTAATATATCCAATCCAACCCCAAAAAAATTGGCCCGACCTATATAAAATTATTAAATTAATTAATCAATCATTCCTATAAGTGTGTTAATTACTACTAATTAATGTGATTTAGGTAAAGTATAAATTAAATTAAAGTAACTTACTTTACTAAAAATATAAAAAAATATATTTTATTGAAATTTTAATTAACAATGGAATTAATATTTTAACAAAAATCAGTTAATTAATAGTGTTTCTAATATTTATTTTCAAGATATATTTTTAAAAAATTTATATAATATACTTGATAGACCAAATAATATCAATCGAGATATGTTTGAATCGGTAACTAAATAAAATGGAGCAGTAACTTTTTCCAATCCTTTACTCTTCAAAAAAATTCCAATTCATTAGAGTTATCTTTTTTTACCCATCTTCTTGCTATAGTGCGAATGCAGTAGTGTTTCAATTTCAATACAAATACTGATGTATGGGGCCCAAAATGTCACAAGGAGAGAGGGATAGATCTTATTAAATTATAATAATATTTTAATTTAAAATATTGTTAACAATTATAATAAAATTTTAAGTAATTATTAAATTTTATTATTTGTCTTATTATCTTATTGTCGTATTTATTTTATCTTATTTAAAATATTTTTATTTATGTTATTTCAATATTTAATTTTAATTTAAACATTAATATTTTAATACATTGATGAGATAAAAAATTAAATGCATTTGTATGGAAGGTGGAGAGATAGAGATAGAAGAAGGGAAAGAGATGTTAGAACTAGGTGTTTTATTGGGCATGTAAGATAAATTAGGAAGTGTTTTAGGAGGAAGTTATAGATGTACAAATAATGTAGGAGAGAGAGAGAGAGAGGAGGAGGAGGAGGAGGAGGAGAATGGAGAGTAGGGGTGCAACTTCAATAGGCCCAACTCGAGTCCAGACTAACCCAATCCACAATTTTAAATACTTTGGACTTGGATTTTCAGTACTCGGGTTGGGCCTAGGTCCAAAAGTTTGGACTTTTTAATTTTTGGGAAAATCCTTATTAGTACCCTACACTTTGGGCCTAATGCCACTTTGGTCCCCGAACTTTGAAACACAACAATTTAGTATCTTAACTTTTAAAACTTGTCAATCCAATACTTGTCATTAATAAGCCCATTAAGTGGCATTTGAAAAACCACAAATTCCCTTCAAGTGTCATCTAACTTTCTATATCAACCATCCAAACGTTGATAAAAAATGAATAGTCCAAAATCCTTACCCCTTCTATTCAAGAATGTTGGGGTCACCAAAATGCTAACTAAGATGTGATCCCAACTTTCTTGAATAGAAGATATAAGGATTTGGGACTGTTCATTTTTTGGCAACATTTGGATGCTTTATAAAGAGAATTAGATGACACTTGAAGGGCATTTTTGTCTTTTCAATTGCCACTTAACGGCTAGTTAATGGTAGGTACTGGATTGGCACGTTTTGAAAGTTTAAGTACTAAATTGTCACGTCTTAAAGTTCGGGGACCAAAGTGATAGTAGGCCCAAAGTACAAGGTACTATTCGGGAATTTTCCCTTAATTTTTTAAGCTAGGATTGAGCCTAGCTCTTAGGTATCTTGCTGTAGCGCATTCATATATATACTCATTTTTGCATGAATTATATATGCATTTATACATATATTTTTTAATAAACCATACATATATGTATACCTTCATATATATTGATGAGGGGGAATTTGGTCCTCCCAAACAAATGACAAACGTGGCCATCGTCGACAACACACGGTCAAATCAATAGGACAACTTGACGGGTTAGCTCAGAGCACCTCGCACAAACTACTCTCGACCTCGACAAGGGTGAGCTGGCAAGGCCCCTAAGGTTGCTGGCGACCTGGCCTAGAAGACAGTCGAGCTGAGGCGAACTAAGGCGACTCGCAAGGATGAGCTCATCTAACCGTCTCCACATCCCACTCCTGAGGCCATTGATATCGCGATCGTTGGAGCAGCTCGCTAAACCGTGCGCCACAATTTGAGCGAACGAACTGTAACCGCCATGAGATCTAGTAAACAACACATTAACACGCCTTATACTGTGGAAACAACTCTGCCAAAAACTCAGAGACGTTACCAAAAGCACCTGAACCTCTGATAGCTATAAAAGGAGCTCGAATTCACCTGAGGAGGTACGCGCACTCATACTCTCAACCTCTCTCACACTCTTAGAGAAATCCCCATTCACCTACTAACTTAAGCATCAGAGTGTCCTCCCCGGGCACTCTCACTCTTTTTCCTTTGCAGCTCGCTTTAGCTCGAACATCCAGACATTAGCTCGGCTCAGCCAAATTGACATACAGTTTGAGTCTAAGTCATAGTACACGAGGGAGCGCTCAGATTGCACGACATCAGATATACACATACATGTGTATTAATTTTTAGTGTGGACTGATAGACCAACCTGAGCGATTGAGCCTGGCCTAGGCCCAAACCCAATCTGAGTGCATCAAATTTTAGTGCTGGTTGGATTCATGTTGGATTATTGGGGCTTTTAACTCAACACAAACCCAACGCTAATAGTTGGGCTTAAGGCTTGAGCCTGAGGCAAGCCCCAAGTAACCAGTTTGGAGTAAAACTAGTTTTGCCATGGTTTTGAAAACTGGATCAGACTAGTTGGTTGGACTGGTTGACCCTAGAACCGTCTAGTTAACCGTTTCCATTTCATCCTAAAACTGCTATCGGGCCAAAAACCATTGACTTGATCAAGTGGGCTATCAAACTATTGACATGTTGACCCTGACAATGGTTTTTATCCATTTTTATTTTAATTACTTTTTTAATTTTTAAATCAGAATGGGCCATCTATTCAAACCGGATGGTTGGACCGTTGGACCTGAAAACCGGTGATCAAAAGAGTTCCGTATCTGAAGTCTGATCCGATTTTTAAAACCTTGAATTTTGGTAGCTGCTTTAAACCAGCTCAATCAAAAGCAGTAGCCGCCCATCCAAACCGGCCGTCAATCTTCTACCAGCAGCTTGGAAGCCTGCGAGCATGGCTTTCAAGTTTCAACTCTTATCGGGCTCTGAACAAACCCATGGGCATGGGGGTATGGCGTATGGGATGATCATAAGGAATTAAGGATGAGAAAAAAATGATTCAATGGTCCCGATGCACTTTGAATCATTTTCTCCAAGCATCAACAGGTCAGTTCAGTTGTGTTTTTTGTGAATGGTGGTCAAGGCGTTATAGTGGTAGTTGTAACAGTACAGATAGATGGACGGTAGGAGAGCATTGCGCAAGTTACTAGCATGAATACCACGTCCACGTGTATCGTTTAGATCCAGATCAGATGCTTAAAGCCACAAGAGACAGGAATGACAGGATTCTCATTCTAGAAAAAAGTAGAAAGTAGAAACAGAAATCAATAATTGCCATCACCTGGCCAATATATGTCCACACCCCCTCTTCTGCTCTCGTAATAATCTCCATCTCCAGTGGCAATTCGATCTCATTCTGTACCGACTCCAGTACTCCATAGTCCATACACCGTTACTAAATATCTGTCCTCGCCAGTTCTTCAACCCTCTCTCTCTCTCTCTTGCTCGCTTAAAAGTTCAGTTCTATCCACGTAAACCTACCCAGAAAGGCGAAGGAATAAAGAAGAAGACAAAAGAGAGAATGGCCGAAGCTTCAATCCGAATCGGCATCCTGTGCTGCGCCGAGATAGCTCGCAAGGTATCTAGAGCCATCACTCTGGCCCCAAATGTGACCATTCACGCCATCGGCAGCCGTTCCATCGAAAAGGCCCAAAAATTTGCTAAGGAGAACGGATTCCCTCCGTCCGCCAAGACCTACGGCAGCTACGAGGCGGTCCTCGACGATCCTGAAGTGGACGCCGTGTACATGCCTCTTCCCACCAGCTTGCACGTGCGATGGGCGACCTTGGCGGCAGAGAAAAAGAAACACTTGCTTCTGGAGAAACCGGTAGCACTGAACGTGAAGGAGTTCGATCGCATCATCGAGGCCTGCGACTCCAACGGCGTGCAGCTCATGGACGCTACTATGTGGATGCACCATCCTCGGACTGCCAAGATGAAGGAGTTCCTCTCCGATTCGCAGCGTTTCGGTCAACTCCGATCGGCAAGTACCGCCACTATTTGATATTCCATTTCTGAATTCTCTATATTTTATTTATTTATTTTTTTATTAAGAAAGAAAGAGAAGAAGAAAGAAAAGGAGGGAATCCGATTTTACTCTTGTCTGTTGCCTGTGCTTTGATTGTGTGGGGGCTGGATGTTGGTCGAGTGCACTGTGCGTCTGTGCCTGGTTTGGGAATTCTACGGCCGGCGTCTAGGGCTGGGCTAACATGCGCCGTGTGTATATTATTATTACTATACCTTCGACTTTGGACTTCACACTTCACTGTTCATATCTCCTGCAACCACGATCACAGCACTCCCGTGCAATCCATGAAACACGCGCACGCCAGCTATTTCAAGTGGTATTCCGAATATATTTCCATCACTGACCTGTCTATCTGTTTCATTGGGTTCGCAAATCGCAAGGGAGTAATTGGATCACGGTCTCAATACCTTGGACCCACCATGACACCATGAAATGGGAATTTTTCAAAAGGAAAATTCACCATAAATAGAAAATATGTGCACCACCAGCTCTGTCCAAACCGGGAAATTTTTGTTTTTTATTTCTTGTTAAAGAACCGGGAATTTCATGCCACACATTTGGTTTTAACCCAAAAAAGGGAAAAGAAGGAACTTGGCGCTTGGCATTTGTCCCACCCATTTAGACAACTGCATGAAGTTTTGGCGCCACATACTTCAGACATTTCCTTTATTTCACTTACTAAAATCTTATTCTATAGTTTGTATTTTACTAAAACCCCCTATCTTTTCCAACGGACTTATTACTTATCAATGTTCTGTTAAGAACCATTTGTATTAATGATTATGTGTTCACCTAAAGTGACTGGGAAATGTTTAATGGTGTGAGTCATGGTTGTATATTTCAAAATACTCTTAGAACTTCTTCCAACTTGATCAAAATTGACTGAATTGAGAGCTTGTCCACATTTTACGAGGGGCAAGAATGACTTTCCATTTTTATTTTCTTTTTATTCAATTTGTTTAAACGGATATTAGTTTTTTTTTGTCAAAATCGTTAATTTTCCAGTTTCATCTAATTAAATTTAAAGATCCATTAAGCAAATAGGTTGCAAATTATAGGGGATGTTTTAATAAAACACAAATTAAAGGATAGGTTTTAGTAAATCCATGAAACTTTAGGGGTGTTTTAGTAAATGACCCTTAATTCAATTATAGATCCTCTTTTTTCCAAGTAATTGACAGGTAATCATGAGCCAAGGCCAGGCTGGGCTTTGCACTTATGATGAGGGTTATAGCATATTATATAAAATATTATATAATACATATTATAAGTTTCATATTGTAATGTTCGTCATAAAATGTATAATATAACATAAAATAATATATATACATATGTATATATTATGTATAAAATATATATATTTAAATATATGTGGGCTGGGCTTGAAGTATTAGGCCTAGACCTGACCCTAAAATTTGTGGGCCTGGCAGAGGCCTAGGCCTGGGCCGGGCCTGAACACAAAACCTAGGCCCAAGCCTAGAATTTCCAGGCTGGGCTGAAATGATCACCCCTAGGTACAGGGTAGCATTACATCCTGTGATCGAAGTTTCTTTATAAGTTCTTCATTATTCATCATCATTTTGTAATTTTTACTTCATTATCTTGTTTACCTTCTTTTTCCTTGTTTTTCTCCTTGCCCCAAAAAAAGACTTCAAATTCCCTCTTCAAAAGCATTTGTATTCTTATCTATCATTAATTTTAGAGCCTGAAGAGTGGGCATTAGTCAATCTAACCAATCAATGTAAGCGCTAGCAGTGTCGATTTATCTATTGTTGGTTTTAGCGGACCTGTTGCAACTTGTAACTAATCTTCCTGTTACAGAAACCCCAATGAGAATTCAAGTCTTTTAGCCCCCTGATGCAGCCAAATATATCTATCTCGGTGCAGTATATCCCAATCTAATGAACTTTCTTTTCGAGTCTCTTGCCTTTGTTAACTTTGTTATTCCCCTCATTTTATAATCATGGAATTTAATTCAACCTGTTTTAATTTGGCTTCAGTATAACATGCGATTCTGCTTTTGGCTTGGGTTTTAATTTTGTTATTGTTGCATCTTTTATTTCTTAAAACATTATTAAATGTGAAGTATTTTTTCCATTCTTTAATGATATTTTTGGTAAGCATTGATTGAACTCATGAATCATGAGCTTATGGTGGAAGCTCAATAAAAGCTCATAACTTGGCCAGACAGTAAAACCTCAGGCTGATGAGCATCAGTTTCTACTGGCCAGCATTGGGTAATGGATACTTCAGCTTATGGTTGAAGCAAAAAGTACTTTTGACCTGGAAATTCAACCCCAGACTAGGACTATTTTTTAACTAAATGTTTCAACTTATTATCCAGTAATATATCACATTCCATCTGAAGAGCATGCTAATTTTCACTTGACAATATTTATTCGTTGGTACTTGGTACCTTCTCTCAAAATATAATATCTTTTTTGTCTGTCCAAATAGATGAATAAATGAAACCTTTGTGGGCTGAGCAGGTGAACAGTGTGTTTACATTTGGTGGTGATCTTGGTTTCCTCAAGAATGACATCCGTGTTAAGCCAGATCTTGACGCCCTTGGAGCTCTTGGGGATGTTGGGTGGTACTGTATCAGGTCACTCTTGTGGGCAGTTGACTATGAATTGCCGAAAACAGTAACTGCACTTCGTGGGCCTGTTATCAATGAAGCAGGAGTCGTTTTGGCATGTGGATCTTCTTTACAATGGGAAGATGGCAAAGTAGCAACTTTTCACTGTTCCTTCCTTTCCAATTTGACCATGGATATAACTGCAATTGGAACAAAAGGAACTCTGCATGTTCATGATTTTGTTATTCCTTTTGAAGAGAAAAGTGCTTCATTTTCAACAGCCACGAATTCTACATTCGATGAGCTTGTAACTGGGTGGGCTACATTGCCAAGCGAGCATGTTGTCACAGTTGATCTTCCTCAGGAGGCCCGCATGGTAAGGGAGTTTGCAAGGTTGGTGGCAAGTATTAAAGGATCCAATTCAAAGCCAGAGAAGTGGTGGCCCACCATAAGCAGGAAGACACAACTGGTACTGGATGCAGTCAAGGCATCAATTGAAAAAGGTTTTGAACCTGTCGAAATTGTAAGTTGATCTATTTAGACACTCCCCTGCCCTATCCTAGGTTTTCAGTAACAAGATCTGTATCATCTTACTTTCTTCTTGGACAGAGGTTTAGGGGTTTATGCTGTTGCATCTACGGACTTGAAAAGAAAGAAAGCTATTTGCTGAATAAACATGTAGGGGCTTCTCATTGTTCTTTAAATTGATGGTTTAAGATTGAAATTGATGTTTAGGTTCAATTAGGTTTGTTACTAGAGCCATGGTACCAGATTGTCCTTGTCCTGATCCCCATTCTAGCTAGTTTGATCAAATTGTCTGTCTTCACCTACATTATCATGGCTTTCCTTATGATGCAACTCTTGTCCTCTCCAAAACAAATCCTTGGGTGAAACTGAATTAAACATTTGGGGAACTGCTAGTGAACGGTGATAGTGTTGTTGTTGACTAGTTAGAAAATCCTTGTGTGATCTTCAAATCCAATTCCAAAACAAGAGGAGAAGCGCACTAGTAGCAAGGGAGGGAGAGGGAATGGAGAGATGGCCGTTAATGCTTTGTAGACTGCAACGAATTATCTTCCTTTTATAAATATACATGCAGAGGAGTAGTAGCACTCGCACGAGAACAACGGGGTTCATGCAAGTCCAAACATTTGGTTCGTTTCAGAGCAGGGTTTATACTCGATAAATGTGAACATGACACAATTCCATAGTGTCATGGGGGTAGATCTGCAGTAGAGGAAACTCGTGCGGCGTCCAGGCCAAGGTAGGCCAGGACAAGCCTTTTGTATGCTTAGGGCCAGGAGTTGCCTGATGAGATGGTTCCACCAAGTTCAATAGCATTGGATCATGACCTCACTTTGCATGGCTGGGGCACTCTACTAGCTCTGGCTGGTCCATGGGAGGCGTTTCTTTCGTGCTAAAGGGGGACAACCATGATGAGAGGTGACTAGGCGCCGATGTGAAGGGACTCTTGTATGCCGATGATGCTGGGCACATGAGTGCCGATGATGATAGCAACGGGGTAGCTCAATCAGCTCAGAAATGGGGTTGGCGAGGTGTAGGGACATGCTTAGGCCAGACCCACGTGCAGAGCCTCCCTTGAGTGTTGGTGGCGTAATGCTTATCCATGCATTGTCCCCATGAGCATGTGTGCACCCATGAGGAACCCTGATAGCCATGCTAGCCATTATTCAGGGCCGCCCCGCAAGGGATGACGGTCTAAGAGTGCCAAGGTCAGGCACCCAAGGAGGTTGACCCACCCCTCATCAAAGAGTACATTAAGCTTTTGGTAGTTTGCCTGAAGATAACATCAATTCTTTCAAAAATCTAATAGGCGAAAATAACGGTGATGTCCTTTAACGTAAGCCCGCCAAGCATAGGCAAGGCTAAGCCTGTGTCAGACTGTGACAGGCTCCCCCACTCAATCCATTATTGTCATCGACAATGACTCCTTTTGTGAATAGGCGTCTGTGTGTCGCTTCATCCACATGTGTGTCAGTTACTAGGTTCGCTTGGCCAACCCGGATCTCACCTATGTTGGTGTCTATTTATGGGGATGAAACCATTTCACCATGCCGGCCTACCTAGACTTCACCCCCAATGTTGATGTTACTCAAATCGCGCGATGGCTATGCCGTTGAAAGTGTGTGAGAAGGGCCCTCGAAGAAATTGGATGTGTATGCTTTGCGGAGGTTCGCCCCATGTATCATCTTTACTTCAAGGCTTGACTGTCTTTGTGGTAGCTTTTCGGTGGTGCTACCGAACACAATGTGATAGGTCTAATCCTGCTGTTGGCGATGTGTCCTGGGTACCCTTTCACCATGCTGGTCTGCAGACTTCACCTCTTCGTGTGTGGGTTACTCAAACTTAGTCCATGGCTTATGCTCTTTTGGCCCTCGAAACTACACTTCACCACACCGACTCGGGCTACTTCTTCGCTCTGAGGGGGCCCCAATGTGTTGCTGCCTTAAGGAGATCTGATTGCTTTGTGTGCGAGTGGTGGCAACTTTTACCCATGATGTTGCTGAACATGCATTCGCCTTGTGATGTGTTGTTGTTGCTGCGAATGTTCCGCTTGTTGAGTTGAGCATGTCCTTTGATTCAATGCCACATTCCTAACATTCTAATATTGTGGCTTCAACCGATGACCCTTTTTGATGTAAAACTACCACTTTAGTGATATTCCTTGACCAACTGTCGACACCAACCAATTTTGGATTGCTGTCCCTGCCTTAGTAGTGCTTCTAACAAGCTACGGAACAAATGCTCATCCATCATGAAACCAAGATGTAGGCGCACCGCCCACAACAAACTAGAATGAATGGCAACTGATGTCCGTGAGGAAGCATTGCACTCCCCCACTCAAACCACATCAATATGCCTCTTATTAAATGGCTCATGTGTCTGCCCCCACATGAGCACAACGTCCAATGCGTCTGCCCCCACATGGGCGTTGCTTTGAGGTCATTGGAATGGGGACACGATGAATGGTCTCTTGCTAGGCCTGATGTGAATGCTTGCTTGAACCCGAGTGGAAGTGCCTAGGGACCGCACCCCACAATGTGCTGCTTGTTGAGATGACCGCTTCAAATGCCTTTGTGTGCAAACTGCTCTAATACCAACTGTCATGGGGGTAGATCTGCAGCGGAAGAAACCCGTTTGGCGTCCAGGCTAAGGTAGGCCAGGACAAGCCTTTTGTATGCTTAGGGCTAGGAGTTGCCCGATTAGATGGCTCCACCAAGTTCAGTAACACTGGATCATGACCTCAGTTCGCATGGCCAGGGCACTCTGTTGGCTTTGGCCGGTCCATGGGAAGCATCTCTTACATGACAGCCATGATGAGAGGCGACTGGGCGTTGATGTGAAGGGACTTTTGTATGCCGATGATGCTGAGCACGAGTGACGATGATGATAGGCAACCAACCGTTGGGCCAGAACACATCCGTGCGCTAAGGGCAACGGGGTAGCTCGATTAGTTCAGACATGGGGCTGGCGAGGTGTAGGGACATGCTTAGGCCAGACCCACGTGCAGATCCCCCCTTGAGTGTCGGTGGCGCAGTGCCGGTCCATGTATTGTCCCCATGAGCATGTGTGCGCCCATGAGGAGCCCTGGTAGCCATGCTAGCTATTAACCAGGGCCGCCCCACAAGGGATGATGGTCTAAGAATGCTAAGGTCAGGCACTCAAGGAGGTTGACCACTCCTCAAAGAGTACGTTAAGCTTTTGGTAGTTTGCCTGAAGATAACATCAATTTTCCCAAAACTCTTATAAGTGAAAATGACGGTGATGTCCCTTAACGTAAGCCCGCCAAGCGTAGACAAGGCTAACAATAGAATCTAACTACCAGATTAGTGCCAGCAACGAAGATTAACGTGTCATGCCATGCCCAACAAGGCAACAACGTTAGGCCCCCAACTGCAAAGTTTTCTCACTGTTCCTCCTCCCTGTTATTCTACAATTGTGCAAGTGGATCTCACTTCTCAGTACAGTGTGAGCGAGGACTGAATTCATATTCTGCAATTGAATCGAGTTCTAATCGAATGTTTCACAGTTTCAGGGTTGAGTTTGATTTTTATTGAGCTCAAATCGAGTTCAAAACTACAAATTTCAGGGTAAGCTTAATTAGTGATCTGAGAAAAAATCAGCTTGAAAGTTTTGACAAGTTTTAATATTTTATATAAGAATATACTATGTATTATAAAAATATCATATATATTTATAAAATATAAAATATAAAAATATATTCATTTTCAAAATTTTGAGCAAATTTTAAGGTCATTGAATATTTAATCAAACCAAGCTTGAACTATAACATATAGTTCGGATAGAGCTCGATCTCAAACCAAAACATATGTCTGCCTATTTGATGAAGAGAAATTGGGAGAATCCTATCATCGTTTCTGAAACTCTGCTCAGCTGACTCAAACCACTATTATCTTATTACTACTAGTTACTATTTTGTACAACCAGGGAGCATTATTACTACTACTAAAGAAAGCAATCCTAGTATGTATAGACAGTCCCCCCCTCCCCCCCCCCCAAAAAAAAAAGGGTTAAGGATCTACCACCTTGTTATTTTTGGGAGTGAAAGAAAATAAAAATCTCACTTGACTATATTTTAAGTCACACAGTATCTATGTATTGTTGCCTCTTTTTCGCAGTTGAATGATGGGACAAGATGCAACATTTCTTTATCCTTCACAACAAAATCATGAAGCTAATGCAAAAGCTAACAAGTCTGCAAATGGCTGAACCTCATTGCGAATAATGAAACAAGCTCATGTGGCAGAACTCTGGGAGGAAATAGTATGTCCATGGATTGGAGTCAAGGACAGCCTAAAAGGGGAAAAAAATCTCAAAGATCCCAAAAGTGACAAATGACTCTGTAAAGAAAGAAAGAAAAAACCAAAAGAAGTGGGGGTGGGCCGGTGGGAGGAGAGGGCCAATATTGCATCAATTATTATTGTATTGCTGCACTTTGGACCTGCACATAAAACAAATTTTCTTGTAACGGAGCATGTGGCGTTGCTCAGCGCAGGCAAGCCCCCCGTCATGAATTATAGAGAGAATTGTGCCAAAAGCAATCCATGAGAGAATCTTTCTGGTTGACGATCATCCAGATGTGAGCTCCCTTTCACTCATTTAAAAAGACACTCCTATGATGAGTCCAAACAACAATTGGACCCACCAATAACAAACTAATGGTTTTTACAACTAAAATCAATCATACAAAGCCCACGACTCAACTCAACTCAGCCTTATCCCAACTACATGGGTCGGCAGTACAGTAACAGTAGTCGGCATATCTACCATAACTCTGTTCCATATTACGTACATTCATGTTTCTTTCAGTTAAGTCCAACTTTATGGATTAACTCTTAAAAAAGAAAAGTAACCCACTTGAAAGGTGATACGTTTGAATCATTTACTTCTTAATCACATATTGTAAATTTGTAATAATCCTGCTGAGTGCTGGCAGAAACCATGAAAACCTGCAGCCTTGATTCATCTAAACTCTGAATTGAGCAACCATGCATCTTATATAAACACAATCAAATCAAATACAATAATACAGAAGCCATAGTCTAGTGTTTTTTAAACGATAAATTACAATAACAACAAAGAAACCTGCCAAATAAGAAAGCCAAGCCTTGATCACCTTCATCTTTCAGTAAGGTTGTTCACAAATGCAGAACAGAGAATCGAAGGTCACAATCCAACTGCCAAGCAATGAACGATTGAAGAACCACCAGGGATGACCAGAATCACCTGCGACCAGACAATTGAACCCCACAATCCTCCACAGCTACCCTTCCAAACTTCAACCTCCGCACATGATATCTCCACCTGCTTACCCGCCCCCTTCCCCTCCCAAACCACGGACAACCTTCCCCCAACATTAGCCAGCATCGCTCCCCACAACAACTTGGGCAGATCCTTCTCCACCCCCTTCAATTCCTTCCATATGCCTTCCTTCGCGTCATACCCTCTTATCTTTCCCAAATAATCGTAACAGTACAAAATCCCATCGACGACAGCAGCTCTCCCTCTCCATCCCGCCTCCAGCTCGGTCGGCACATAGCCCCAGGTGGCCTCCCCAGGATCGTACACAATCCCTCCTCGATCTGCCACTGCATAAATTTTTTCGTCGATGACCGCGCTCCCGTGCATCCACTTCTCCCTGACCTCCATCGGGCTGGGAACAGGCGCCCACGACCAAGTTACAGGATCGAACACCTCAGCCCAATTGGTTGACCGAGCCCACGAATCGACCAAGCAACCTCCCATGACGTAAATCTTCCCGTTTGCAACCCCGGCAGCCGCGAATTCCCTGCCGACACGCATCTTGGGTCCAAGTTCCCATTTATTGAAGCGAGAATCGAAGATCCAAACGTTGGAGGACGGGATTTCGTTGATTGACCCGCCGATGACGAAAATCTTGGGTCCAATGACGGCGAAGGCGGAGCCGATGGCCTGAGAAGGGATGGGAGGGACGGGGGAGAGGTTTCTGGGGTTTCTAGGGTTTTGAGGGTTCCTGGGGTTGTGATCGAGGACGAACCATTTGAAGGAAGACCCGTGGATGCGGACGTTGATGAAGAGGAAGTGTTGGGTGCAGTTGAGGAGGGAGCGGGTGGAGAAGAAAATGGGAGAGCGGAGGATGGAACGCCAAGACTTGCAGACTAGGGAGAGATCACAGTGGTAGAAGCTTGGGACCCTCGCGATGCATTGCAGAGCAACGTCGTCTGGTAGGTCCGGAACGAGAAGTGACGGTGGTGGCGAGTCGGAATCGACAGTCGAGGTTGCCCCGGAAGAAGAAGAAGTTCCTTTCATGGCCTGGCTCTTCTCCAATTTCGCTCTTCTGCTATGTCTCTGGTTCGCGCTTCTTCTTCCTTCCACATTTGCTGGTAGTTGGAGATTGAAGTTGAAAGAAGAAAGTAGCATGACATGTTTGGTGGAAATTCCTTTATACTAGGTGGTCCAGAATTCCTGCTACAAAGTACAGTTAGATGAGTCTTGTTTTTGGTTACAGCCATCAGATTGAAATCTCAGATTCTCACATTCTCAGGTTTCTGACTTGTGAGTTCAGGTGATCAAGAAAATCGTTATTACCAAAAAAAAAAAAAACAAAGACCAAGAAAATCTAAGTGTTGCATTGAAAATTCGAATACCCTAAGTATTACTACCCTCAAAGTACATACAAGATACTTATCTATAATTTACCTTTTTTTTTTTAAGAATACTTAATGGTGAATATCGGTTTTACGGTGAGCCGTGGAGTACGTAGGCTAAAACCCAATGGGGCAGCACATGCTTCTGTCACGCTCATGCCAACGTCTCACATCAAAATATCTACCTGTACGTTAATCACTCTGCTTACGGCTTACCTAACCCTTTCATCCATCCATCACAAATGGATTTCGAATCTTGAATTGAGCATGTGAAGCATGTGGCTTAGGGATGATCATTGGCCGGGCCACTCTAGGCTTGAACCGGGTTCTCACAGGTAGTAACGACTAACGATATTTAGGGATGCTTGGGCCCGGCCTAACCCGCACCAACAGACCTGATTATATTGGCTTTGGTTTTGCGATTTTGACCCAATTAATAATTGGATTGGACTGGTTTTTACTAGACCTGTTCATGGACCGGGTAGCCCGATAGCCTGGCCCGGCCCGGCCTGCACCCCAGTCGGGCTTGGTCATGTAATTAGGTCCGCGGGCCTAACACAATAAGCCTGACTGTGTTTCGGGCCGGGCTCGGAATTTACCAAAAAAGCCCAGCCCTACCCAATTGAACATTATATATTTTATAAAATACATAATGTGTATTTTATATATTATATAAAATATATAAATAATATAATATTTATTGAAATATATATATATATATATATATTTATAATTTAATATATACACTTTTTATTTTTTTTCTTTATAATTTCTCTCTCTCTATTCAACCACTTCAGCAGTAGTAACAGCATGGGCTAAATTTCAGGCTCGGGCCCAGTCCGGACTTCGAGCTTTTTATGAGGGTCAGGCTCGGGCTCGGGCCTTAGAAAAATCTATTAATATAGAGTGAAAGCCCGGCCCATGAACAGATCTAGTTTTTATTGTTCTGAACTGATTATATATTTATATATAAATCTATCTTGTTTTAAGGATATATATATATATATATATATATATCTAAAAGAGTAAATTTCACAAACAGTAAATAAGATTATTATAGTAAAAACATATATTTTATCAGCATATAAATAGCTTAATATTTTAATTTTAGTTTTTTAAAAAGTTATATTATCAAAATGAAATTCTAAATTATTATCATCATTGGTAATAATAGATACTAAGTATAACCGGGTCAGACCCATATCTTGGTTTATCCCGAATCAGACTCCGCCCACATTGACGGCCCGAAAGAAACTGAAACAAAAGACTATCATCTTTACATGGGCAATTTAGAGCAAATGTTAGGTCTTAGGTGGTAGGTTGCTGTCATAAATAAAATGCTTCCTATCTTGTCTAACATTTTGAGATATTTGTATATATATACATATATTAATAAACATTTTGCAAAGAAAAAAATTATATGGTCAGAAAGATATGATATTGGAAGGGTTTTGACCAATCAAATTCTCCATGAATTTCATAAAAGACCACCTGATTGGTTATCACTTTATTAATTGCAAACTTTTTTGGTATCATATCTTTCTAGTGTCATATTCGAACATATAACAAAATCTCCTTATCCCCTGATGTAGTCGATTCACATGCTCATTCATGATGCCTTGATTGAGATTGGCTATTGAGTGTGTACAATGGTATAACTATTTTCTTCTGTAGTCCTATGGTGAGGGAGGTCCTTAAGGCTCAGTTTGGATCGAGTATAAATACAAATATGTAAAGTGTAAATTTTTATATTTTGTATTATTTTAATGTATTTATACTCCTTTCAAATTGAGTCTAAGATTGTGTTTAGTTGCAATGCAAATAAATTTGCACTGATGTAAAACTATAACAGTGCAAATGATTTGAGTGTAAATTTTTGACCTTTTTTTTTAAATTTAGCTTATTTTGTTTGATTACAGTACAAATTAAGTAAATTAAGACATTAACAAAATAAAGTAAAACACAAAACAAAATTAAATAAGAATTTGCAGTTTTTTCATTTGCACTCCCATGTATTTATACTACTACAAATAAAATTGCATTGCAACCAAATACAGCCTAAGCCTCTGATGATAGCCCCCGGAGGCCCAGTACTCAGCTTAAGGCTGTCCTGTCCTTCTGTAGCAATAAAACAGTTGGTGGGTCAGCTTGTAGCTGCTGCTCTCATTGTTGCCGATCAACAGCCATCTACTCCCATTGTTGCCTTTCATGTGGAGCACTTTCATTGTTGCCGATCAACTCCCATGAAATGAGAGCCTGAAGTTCACTTGCTTGAATTGAAGTTCACTTATTTATTAGGACGGGAATTACTGAAGTTCACTTGTGGTTGAACTGCACAAAAATCCAACCTTCTAAAGGCCTTATTACAGTGAATTGGATCTCTGGGCCAGGCTTTTTAGACTAAGGTCCAATTAACCAAAAGGCTCTTCGGCCTTTAAAATTTAACAAATGGATAATTTACAATGTTACGCCTCTAATTTCGTAATTCTGCTTTATCAAGCACGAGCTAGGATAATGGACCTGATGTTTGGTTGCTCATAGCCATAGATGTAAGCAGAATAAGAATAAACATGGTGGTATTTGGCAAGTCTGTTTGTGCGGCTTCTGGGCTTCGAGAAGTTTGAAAGATTCAATTTATCTTTTTCTGTGTGGTAATTGATGAGGGCGGATTTGACCCTTCAATGACATCATAACACATGGCATCTTGGAATAGCTAGTTGACATATAGACACCACCTAAGCAATGACTTGGAGTCCTAGATCCTGGTTTCTCTTTGTCTAGACTTGGCGACCTGCCTTCACCGCCGACCTGGCGACCTGCCTCTGTTGCCGACCTGGCAACTTGCCTATGGCGTCAACCTGGCGACCTGCATTTGGCACTAACTTGGTGACCTGCGAGACGGGCTCGCCGTCGATTTCTGTATGCATTCCATCACTCTCGGGTCTTTCGGAAGTCATCTCTCACACCAAATGTTTTGGGAGAAACTGAGTAAGGCGCAAAGATTGGCCTACGTGCACGACTACCTCCGAGGACTTCAGAGCAGTTAGGCACGTCTTCTCGGAGATCCCAGATGTGTTGCGTGATGATCACGACAAATAATGCCTATATAAAGGCCTTACCTCCAACCCCAGAGGAGAGATGCGCAATTTTTAGTTCTCGTAGCTCTCTAGCTCTCTCACATTTAGCTATCTTAAAATCTTTGATTCGTTAACTTAAGCATCGGAGTGCCTACCCCGGGTTAAGCAACCCGGGCACTCTCACACTGTTTCCTTGTAGGTTGCATCAGAGCCACTTCTCTAGCTCATCACCACTCAATTAGGCATCAAAGCCACCTCTCCAGCTTGTCACCACTTAGTTAGGCATCCAAACCACCTCTCCAGTTTGTCACCATTTAGATAGGCATCAAAGCCACCTCTCTAGCTTGTCACAATTCAGCTAGACGTCCAAGCCACCTTCTAGTTAGGAACCATTCAGCTAGGCGTCCAAGCCATTTTCCAGGTGGGGATTATTTAGCCAGGCATCCGAGTCACCTGCCAGTCAGGAGTTACTAAAATGCACATCATCAATAATTAAAAGCTTGAAAGATGATAATACACGCGCACGGAAGGACCTGAAAACATAGAAAACATCAAATTTCGAGAAGTTTCAAATGAAGTTCTATGGTCTTTCTATATGATATATAGCTTCTAAACGCGTTTTTAACAACCCAATGGGTTGAGCTGCTTACCAAACAGTCTTTACCTTTAAAGACAAGACCACAAAAGGTCAATAAATGTTTTGATTATATGGATTGCTGAAAGATCTTTTTAAAAAAACTTGCCAAAGGGCACCATTATTTAACTCATAAATGCAATTTTAGCACCAAGTTATATGCAAAGAAACTAGTCAGGAGCGTTTTTGAAATTGAACAAGAACATGGGGAAATCTGTGCTGCCGAAAAATACATGATACCGGAAGAGCTTTGACCAATAAAAACTGTCTGAATTTTGATAAATATCACCTGATTAGTTATTATTTTTATGATAACGATTGATTAGTTACAAGTTTTTTCTGGTATCATTCTCGAACCTATGAACAAGAACGAAGAGATGATCAAAATTTTGTATGGTTGAAGTTACTGAGTTGGATCTGTTTTAGGGGCAACCTAAACTCATCCATAAGACCTGAAAACCAAGATCAAAGCCCAAATTTGTCAACCCAAGCCCCCCTCAAACTAAAGCTCACACTAGTTGAGCTGGCCTTTCGCTTGTGTGGGTTGATTAGGTTTTAGAGCCTTTCTTAAAAAAAAAAAGAAAGGGGTAATCTATGATACCGGAAAGATAGTACCGATTGATTGGTTTTCTGTCTTTCTGTTATCATAGTTGAATCCAATAAAAATTAAGAAAAATAAGCGAAAAGAATAAAAATCATTCTAGAAGCATCTTTCAGAGTCTTGCCATCAAAAGATCCAAGTCATGACCAGTTAAGCCCTATTATTGAATTTAAGCTAATAACACATTAACAAGTCCATAAAGCCAGGCCCACCAGCGACCAGCCTACATATGCAAGTCGTATCTATGTTATATTCTAAAATGCAGTTGTCCATGTTAAACTTCTCATATTTATTTCTAATCCCTTTTAGAATTTTGTGAAATTTTTGAATTTAAAAAATAAATAAATTATGTATGTATTTAGTATAAATTTTATTTATTAAATAATTGTTTGTATTTGATTTGTTTTCAAAACTGAGAAAAGCATTTGATAAACCGTTTATTGATAACTAGGTGCTACTAGGCATCACATCAGCGGTTGAGTGAATAAATGCTCAACCATTGGGGAAAGCATTAAAATGAACTTTATCCCAATGGTTAGTGTGAACATAAATTAAAATCAATATTTATGAATACCAATGTGTATAAGCGAACATGATGAAAAAAATGCTGATTTAGCGAT